CAGTTTTAGAACAAAACAAACCTTCATTTTGGATTTAACAGTATAGCACTCGGAGAAGCGAAACGTTTTTTGTTCCATTCTAACATTTCAACAGCCTAGGGCATTGAGTAAGAAATAAAGTTTTGGAGAATTCAATTAGTCTTTAACACCAACATTTCTCAGCCTAAACCTTAATGTCTCATTTTGATAGAACAGTTTACTATGTGATTGTTGTTTCTGTGCTTAACAAGTTTTATTTGTTCACAGCTTAAAGGGGGAGGTGATGTGTACCCAGGCACCAACTACACGTTTTATATTAAAACAGTGACTGCAGGGTGAATAAAGAGATAAAAGATGGCAGCCCCCATGAAAAGCTAAACCAACGTTTGGTGAGTCCGTTCCTTTTGTCCCATTTACTGGGTAGAAAGAAGAAAGAACCCATAAATACAACAGACGCGTCATGAGGATGCAACAGTGAAGTGTTGGTGAAGATCAGGGTACCCTATGAGCTGCTGTTAGAGATGCTGGAGGGCGGTGAAGCGTGTCCAACAGTGAAGGCACGGGCAGAAAGTGTAGTTGTGTTTCAATATAAGTACATGTACAAGTGAATGTCCATGGTGGCAGCAGTGAATGGAAGCCATCTTATTTGTCTGATACACCTACGGTTCTCGACGATTTTGTGTTGCTTGCTTTTGGAAATTGGATACTACAGTTCCTTCGTTGTCATGTCTGTCACAAAAACATTTTTAATCCTTAATTTACCCAATTTCATGCGCTCGCTTGATCGGATGTCTCGATGTAGACGCAATTTGTGTATAGCGTAAAATGAGGTTTTCCGCTTGTTTCCCTTTTGCTCATTATAATCGGTCAACTGGGGAAAGTTCGAGAGATTGCTGCTTCTAGTCGATCTAGTGTGGGAACCTATGCATTAAATATATCCTGGCTACCTGGTAAAATCGAGTAGTGGTTTGACAGGTAGTGGTCTCTCCAGGTTCCCTTCTCTGGCAACTGTTTTCATTGAGAGCATAGCGTAAAAGGGCATAAACCCACCAGCGACACAGCAAATAGATTGCTAGTGCATAAAAGTAAGTAAATCCCATCCACTGGCAGTGGTGGTAAATATCTCAAACTTTGGAAAGGGGGAAATTACCCAGAGAGCTTCTGCGTGATTATTTATATGTGGTTTTTCCTTTCCTTTCAAAGCTTACAAACTATGGCGAGCTCCTCTAGGGCACCGACTCGGGTGACGGAAAGTCCAAACTCCCCAGAGGGTGGATGGGGCATCGTGGTGGTCATTGCCACCTTCTCTGTCAACGTGCTCTTGTTTGGTCTATTACGATGCGGGGGCATACTCTATGTCAGCTGGATGAACGAGTTCGACACCAGTGCTAGGGAGACGGCTGCAGTTCAGAGTATTGCCACTTCGCTATTGTGTCTATGCGGTAAGAGAAGCGATTTGGGACCGTGCAGGACGGTCAGTGGAGAGAGATTTTGATTTCTTTGTATGTGAGAGTGGGTGTGTGGGTGTGTACGTGGCCATCACTGACTGAAAGTTTGGATACATGACGCATAGCGACAAACCTAGGGTGAACATGCGTTCACGTGCACAGTGTCAGGGAAAGATGTGGGTACGACCAATTTTCATCTGAATACACACATACTCCTGCTGTCTTCGCACTGGGCATCAGCGATTGTTTCTGACTTACACTACCGAATGGCGTACTTGCGTACTGCATCCTTGCATTGGCTAAGGATGGCGTTGTGAATGTTTGGTACATCACTAAAATAGATGGGATTTTAAGCTATTCAGGTTGACAGACAACTAAGGTGGAAAACTTGCGGTAGCGCCATGCAAGGATA